CTGCGCTCTGTTCGTGATAAACGACAACACTTTCCAGTCGCGAACCACTTCAACTCCCCCTCCCACTCCCTGGGTGACATGTCCATCCTGGGCCTCCTCCATTGTCACTATGATGCCTCCTGCAAACTGGAAGAGCAGCACCTCACATTCTGCGTCAGGAGCCTTCAGCCCAATGGCCTAAACATGGATTTTACCAGTTTCAAAATCTCCCCACCCCCGGCCTTATCCCATGAACAACCCTCCCTCTCATCCTCGCCTCCTTGACCTGACACAACCTGTCCATCATCTCGCTCACCTATCCACCCCACCCACCTCACTGACCAATTGCCACCACTACCTACCTGCACTCATCTATCACCCACCTACCTTCCCCAGCCCCACCCCTTCTCTCTCTATTTATTTCTGAGCTCCCTTCTCCCTCCCATTTCTGAAGAAGGTCCTGGCCCGAAACATCAACTTTCCTATTCCTCTGATGCTGCTGGCCTCCTTTAACACCAACTTCTAAACAACATTTTCACCGGCATCAAATTCACCAGAGAAGAAGAAAAGAACAAACAGCTCCCATTCCTGGACCTGATAGTAGAACACAAGGCCAACGGGGAATTTCTGACTAAAGTACACAGAAAGGCCACATACACGGATCAAGTCCTAAATTTCAACAGTAACCACCCCAACACCCACAAACGGAGTTGCGTGAAAACACTGTTCAAACAAGCTATAGCACGCTGCAGCAACCCAGAACTACGCCAAAATGAAGAAGAATACCTCCGCCAAGTATTTAGAGACAACGGATATCCAAACAGTTGGGTCTGACGATGCCTGTCACACAAACAACAACAGGAAGATACAGTACGCTCCGACACTTGTCACATTACCATACATCAAGAACGTATCTGAATTGACCACAAGACTCCTATGGCCACTGGGCATCAGAGTGGCACGCAAACCCACATCAACTCTATGCCAACTGCTAACAAGAACCAAAGATCCTTACCCACTATGGACAAAACCAAGGTAATATACGAGATTCCATTCAAGGACTGTGACAAATATTACATTTTACAGACAGGAAAGAAACTGGCTACGAGAATACGTGAACACCAACTAGTAACAAAAAGACATGACCAATACTCACTCATCTCCATACATACAGACAAGGAGGACCACCAGTTCGATTGGGACATCGTCAGGATCCTAGGACAAGCCAAACAGAGACAAGCACGGAAATTCCCAGAGGCCTGGTTCTCCACCAAGAAGGCCATTAATAAACACATAGGATTAGACCCAATATACACACCACTGCGAAGATAAACCGGAAATGACATAATCAACTCCAATGGACCCCAGAGTTTAAATAGCAAGCAGGAAAATACAACAACGTTTCATCGGAGGCTGCACTGATGATGTTACCTAGAAGGGTAATGAAATGTCTGCCAACTAATGAACCAGCTCGGCAAACGAGCCAACCATAGCATCCACAACCCGAGCTACAAATCTACTCGAGAAATGGTAGCATCCCATCAGCCACCTTAATTACATGTTGTACCTGCATGCTAACCTTTTGTGACACATACATTAGAACACCTAAATCCCTCTACACCACGGAATTCTGCAGTGATACAATTGAAAGCACAGTAAAAGCCCCTTTAGCCCATCATGTTTTCAATGGTCAAAACAAATCACCAAACGATTCTAATTCCATTATCCAGCACTTGACCTATAGCCTTATATAGTCTGGCATCATAAGTGCACATCTAAATGCCACTAAAATGTTATGAAGGTTTCTGCCTCTGCCATCCTTGAAGGCAGTGAATTCTAGATTCCCCGCAAATGATTTTCCTTACATCTCCTTGAAACCTTTTTGCCCTGACTTTAAATTTATGCCCCAGTCATTGATCTCTCCAGCAAGGGGAAAAGTTTCTTCCTGTCTCATTGTTGGCAATCACTCACGAATGATTTTGATTATTCATCGAGGAAATTCTGTGTGAATGGTCATGAGATCTGTGGGTCCTTGTGTGGCTGATGATCCCAATCCTAGAGCTGCATCTCCAACCACACATTTGGTAGGTGTTTCTGGGAGATGGAATGGATCCTTGCCCTTGAGATCATTAGCATCCCCTTCTCTGGTTCTTTTTCTGCAGTTCCTGTTGTTGCTTGGTATTCTCAAAGAATTGTGACCCTTCATACAGGAGTTTCCTCCAATTCGGTCCCTACTGAACAAGAATCTCCCATTTATTGACATCTCTGTTACATTTCTTGAGGGAAGCCTTTGGAGACTCTTTGAAAGACTTCCTCAGTGCTCTTCGTGTTTGAAAGCTTACCTGAGCTGGGCAAAGAAGATTTGCTTTGGCAGTTGGAACTCAGCCATCCTAAGAATGTGCCCGGCCCAGTGGAGTTGTTTTGGATGATCATGACCTTGATGCTGGTGCTATTAGTTGCTACTGATTGGTGCTATTAGAAGGGTGCTGATGCTAGTATCCCTGTCCTCTCAGCTGATGCAAAGAATCTATCTTAAAAAACATTGGTGCTTCTCAAAGGTCTTGACGTAGTGTCAATATGTAGTCCAAGTTTTGGAGCCATACAGAAGTCGGAAAGGATAAGTGCCCTATACACAAGGATCTTGGCATCAGCATGGATATTCCAGTCATTGAAGACTCTTACTTGAAGACAGTACTCGCAGATTGGATGTGAGGCTGAATCTCTGCATGGACACCTTAGGTGAAAGTTAGCTTCCCAGATAAGGGAAATGTTTCATGTTTGGGAGGATTTCTCCATAGATCTTAATAGAAGGATTGACCGGAACTTGACCTGGGATGTTTTGGTAAAGGGCTTGACTCTTCTTGAGGTTGAAGCTGAGACTAATTCTTCGGTATACTTCTGCAAATGTGTTAAGCGAGCCTTGAAGGCTGTTTTCTAAGAGAGCAGAGATGATGTTGTCATTCACATACTGAAGTTGCACAAGTGAGATCAGTGTTGTTTTCTTCTTAGATTTCAGCCAGTTGAGGTTGAAAAGTTTTCCGTCCATGCTGTAGACAATATCCACACCACTGGAAAGCATGTTCTTGACAAGACGGTTGTGAAGAAGATAGAGAAAAAAGTGGGGGTGCTGACACATCCCTGCTTGACCTCAAAGGATTCTGTCATATCAATGAGGACCATTATTGACATCTTGTTGTGGAGGAGACAGAGAATGTCAATGAATTTCACTGGACAGTTGGCCTTTAACAGTGTCTTCCATAAGGCTTCTGAGTAGATTTGTAGCTTGGGTTGTGGATGTTATGGTTGGTTGGCTCACCGAGCTGGCTCGTTCCACAAACGTTTCATTACCCTACTGGGTAACATCATCAGTGCAGCCTCTGATGAAGCACTGTTGTGTTTTCCCACCTGTTATTTAAACTCTGGTGTCAGTTGAGCTGGAGTGCCTCATTTCCGGTTTTCCTTTGCAGTGGAGCATATATGGGGACAAGCTCTATGTGTTTGCTGATGGCTTTCTTATTGGAGGACCACTAGTGTTCTAGTGCTTCTCCACGAAGAAGGCCATCAACAAACACATAGGGCTGGACCCTGTATATACTCCAATGCGAAGGAAAGCCGGAAGTGAGGCAACCCACCTCAACTGACACCAGATTTAATAACAGGTGGGAAAACACAACAGTGCTTCATCGGAGGCTGCACTGATGATGTTACCCAGTAGGGTAATGAAACGTCTGTGGAACAACGAACCAGCTCGGCAAGCCAACCAACCACAACAGGGTCTGCCATAGCACTTCCTGATTGAGTCTAGAGCCTTGATCAAATGGATGAAATCTGTGTAGTTTGGTTGGTGTTGTTCCTTGCATTTCTCTTGCAGTTGCTGAACAGTGAAAATCATCTCCATAGTTCAATGGTTTCGTCAGAAGCTGCACTGTCTTTCAGGAATGATTTCCTCAGAGACTAGAAGAGAGAGCTGAGCAATGATCTGGGCAATGATCTTCCTGGTGATGGACAGTAAAAAGAATTTTTAGTAGTTCCCACCATCTTTTTTTGTCTCCTTTCTTGAAGACAGTGGCAGTGGCAATGGCATCATCCCTGAGATTGTTAGGGATTTCTTCTTTGTGCAAGATTTTAAGGAACAGTTGATGGAGATGGCAGGTAAGCTTTTCTCCTCCAAGTTTGAAAATCTCCACTGGAGTCTCGACTACTCCTGTGGTTTTCCATCCTTCCTGTGTCTAATGGAGTCTTAAATTTCTGCCACACTAAATGGGAGTCCAAGATCATTTTTGATGGGGAGTTGGGTTTAGAAGTTCTTTGAAGTGTTCCCTTCATCAGAAGCTGATGTTTTCTCCATCTCTCAAAAGGGTGGCACTGAAGAGACCCTGGGTGTCATGCTTATCAGCAAGGAGTTGCAGCTCCTTAGCTTTCTTAGCCTATCATTGGTTCTTGATTTGTCTTGTTCTTTGTGACTCCAACTTTGCTGTTTGATGAGTTGTCCTCTTTGCTTCACTGGTGTTGTTCTCCTGCCAGACATAGAGAGGTTTCCTCCTCTTGCCAGTGAGGTTTTAGATGATGTGGTCATTCTCGTCAAACTGGTGTTTCCTGGTCTTGTAGCTAATGGTTTCTTCATAACATGAGAGGATGCTGTCTTCAGCCCTTTTCAGATTCCCTTCCACTCCATTAAAATGAACTGTTTGGAGATTTTGGTGAAGCCGTTGTTGGAAGTTTGCTAGTCTGCTCGGCTCTTGAAGCTGTTTAGTAATGAGCTTTTATTTTTCTAAACTGCTTCATTGTCTTTAGCTGCTTTTGGTGGCATTTGATGGGAATTGAGGAGCAGATGAGCCGATGGTTTGTCCAGCAGTTGACTGCAATGGTCATTGCTTTGATAATGAGGTTATCCTTTTGGTCTCTGGATCGAGCGATGACCTTTCTGTGGATTGCCACCTTGCTGTGATGGAGATGCCTGAGTGTGCTGTTGATCCCAAGAACAATTCCATTGAAGTGCTCAACTCCTGGTAGGGCCACCTATGGCGGTAAGATCAGAGAGAAGGAACAGACAAAGCACAGTTCAAAGCAAGTCCTCAACAGCAATCCAAACGGAAGACATTCATGTGATATCAATGGTTGTAATGGCAGGTGAAGGTTGTAGCACTAAGGAGATCCCCAGTCTTTGAGGTTTATTTTCCACTGGAATTGGATCTACATTCTGTCAAGTCTGTGTCTGCTGATGTGCAAAAGCATTTACATGTTCAAAGATGTCCCACACAAGATGCCTACTTGGAGGAATTGAACCTCTGAAAACACACAACACAAGCCCTGTGGAGATTGGCCAGAGGTGATGGGGACATAAAACTAAAGAACTGCGGATGTTGGAAATCAGAAACAAAATCAGGAATTGCTGGAAAAAGACAGCAGGTCTGGCAGCATCAGTGGAGAGAAAACAGAGTTAACGTTTCAGGTCTAGTGACCTTTCTTCAGAACTGCTTGTATCTAGGAAAAGGTTGATATATATGCTAGAGAAGGGAAGGGCAAAGGAGTAAATGATAGTTGGAGATGCAGACAAAGAAATCGGTAAAGGTCAGCCTTGGAGAATGAATAGTTGCTAATGGGAACTGGTATTGGCTGACAATGAGGTGCTTGTGGTAGCAGCCTATGTGCTGACGAGGCCTGGTGTGTGTGATTTGGGGTAAGGATATGGGAGAAGGTGCTCAGGCCCTAAATCTATTGAACTTGATATTAAGTCCAGAAGGTTGCAGGGTTCCCAAGCAGAAAATGAGGTTCTGATCTTCCAGCAAGTAGAGTTGCAACTCCAACAGGTTTTTTGTGCCCACCACCAGCTGGTCACCACTTTTTCCATCAAAAAGAGAAGTCCAAGCCTTCTTTGAGGCATTCACAATTAAAGCACTGGCATATGATCAACTACATCATCATTTGATCAATCTATTTATTCTGTATATGCCCCTCATAATTTTGCTAATCTCAATTACGTCCCTTCTCAATCTCCTCTGCTTTAAGGAAAGCAATCACAGTCTGTCCAATCTCTCTTCATAATGGAAACTCTCCAGGCCAGGCAACATCCTGGTGAATCTCCTCTGCACCCTGTCCACTGCTATCACATTCCTCCTATAATGTGGATTCCAGAATTGTACAGAATCCTCTAGTTGTGACCTAACTATTGTTTTATACAGCTGCAGCACCATCTCCCTGCTCTTAAACTCTATGTCTCAACTAATAATGACAAATATCCATATGGTTTCTTAACTACTTTATGCACCTGTCCTGATACCTTAAGGGACTGGTGGACATGCACACCAAGGTCCTTCTGATCCTGAGTACTTCCCAGGGTCTTACTGTTCCCTTGCCTTGATTGTTTTGCCTAAGTGCATCATGTCACACTTATCTGGATTGAATTCCATTTGGCACTCACCAGCCTATCTGACCAGCACAACGATATCTTCTTGTAGGCTGAGCATATTCTCTTCAGTATTTACCTCCTTACCAAATTTTGCATAATTTGTGAACTTAC